TATAGAAAAATGCCAATTTTTCGCACTTTAAAGGGACTTATACAAATACTACAACAGATTTTTTTTGCTCAAACTATAATATATGTTGAGTAATTTCATTTATTTATTACTTTTTCTTTTATATCATTTTTGTAACCCTTTCTTCAAGAACTTCACTTTATCATAAAGTCAAAAACACATTTTTACGACGTCAATCTACCTATCAATAAAAATCGTTTTAAAAATCAGTTATATATAAAATTGTATTCAAAGTTTTCAACCGATAATCTCTAGATCGTATCTAAAAAACATGATTAAGTGAGAAAAATGATTTAAAACAGTAAATACGCTTCATTTTACTATAATTTGCGAAATATTGCGCAATAGAAACCCCAGTCGGCCCCCTAAAACAATTTTTTTGCTGAATTTTAACATTTTATCTTTTCACCTAAATTAACGTATTATCGAGGTATTTTTCCAAAACTGAAATTGTTGAGTTATCAATCAGAGAATTCTAATATAAACATTAACTCTAATAAAATGGTCAAAATAAATTTGCTTTTTGTAAATTGTATAGGTTATACACTATTGACAATTCGGTCTATCATAGTTGCAAACACATAAAATACAATATATTTACACCCTTGAACATTGTGCATTTGATTTTAAAACTTTCTAAAGAATTTGCCACCTATATAGTAGATATAAAATTTATAAGTTATTACAAAATGTTGAAGTTATCAATTATAAGGCTATCAGTAGTCTCAGCAACTGACTATTAGCCTGGCGGAAAATGATCCCAAAAAAAATCTATAGAAATCTTTTCATTCTTTATTTATGTACATATGATGTGAAATTCGTAGGCTACAAATTATTGGAAAGGGAATCATTTCAAAATCATGCTTTGATCTCGACAAATTGCCGTATACAATTATGTGTATTCCTTCAATCAATCTATGTGTAATAAGTATATAGTATACGGGGTAATAAAACATTCAAGATAATATTGCATCACAGATTATGGGACACTATGGGCATCTTGATCTAAGATCCTAATGTGACCTATGTTATATTTCAATTTTTAGAGAGTCATAATTGGGCACAATACACACATAAACACAAACAAAATTTATTTATATTTCCAGGAAAGAAGAAATTACACCAAACTTTGCTTCGCTGTGTTATGTCTAGGGGGTTGTAGAAATAAGATTAAAAAAAATAAAAGTATTGAATGTATAAAAGTCATACAAAACAACTGTCTTAAATATGAACTGAACAAATTAAAAGTTATATTTAGATTATTTGAAGTCTGTGAGAATTAGTTTTTGAAAATCTCATGCTATCAAAAAAATCACATTTTCAATACTTTGATTTGATTAGAACTCAGTTTGATAAATGACTACAATTTATCCATTTCTGTGCCTGACAGTATATGAAGGATACTAGTATGTAGAATCTATGAGTGGAATTCCTAAATATAATCTTCCTGAAATCAAAGAATGATCCCTTTGACATATTGTCAATAAAATATCTTCAAAACAAAACAAAACAAAGAATGATTGGCAAAATATCGTCGTTTCAAGGATACAAATTTTCTTCATATAAAAAAAGCTCTCAGACAACAGTAGGAATTATTAGGAAAACCCGATTATACACTTCCTTAGTTGCAGATCTGTAGCTCTCCGAAAAAATATATATTGATAGACCGGAGAGCTACAAGGCCACACATTGAAAAAACTGTATATTTATTGCGCAAAAAAACGCTCTCGGTTCTCGATTTATTTCTCCAGGTTTTTAAAGCTGTAATCTCAAATTATTACTTATCGTGTGTTCCTAACATATTCTTTGACTCTTCCCACAACAAAACATTCCTCATAATTGTTGTTAATAGTCCTCCTGGCCTTCAGACATAGCAATCATCGGACATTTCGCTTATTTTTACTGCCAATTTGGTTTCAAAGATAATTCGGTCCAGTATGCTTCGTTAAGATGTCAACTACGAGAGAACTTGAAAGAGGAGAGAGTAATTTTTTTAAATTTTCCAGTTTTTGCAATTGAGGTAAGAATTTGGAAAAATAATCAAGAATCGAGCGCACTTTTTGTGCACAATAAATATACAGTTTTTTCAATGGGTAGCACTGTAGCTCTCCGGTCTATCAATATTTTTTTTTTCGGAGAGCTACAGATCTGCAGCTAACACTTCCTATCTCTTAGCAATTTTGCATAATAGTTTCTAAAATTAAAAAGTTCCATCCTTATAGTAAGAGAATTCCTATTTTCTCTAGGTCACATGGATATTTCCGCCTTTTTATGAGCAAGGACACAAAATCCTCCGCACTGTACAAAAAAAAAAAATAAAGAAATAAAATAGAATAGAGTAAAACAAAAATGACCAAAAATATCCCCCCCAAAATATTCCTGTCCTCTCTTTTTCCTTTATTATATAGATAATTAAAGCGAAATTCTTCTATCAGAATATTATTTTCAACTTTCAAGACACCATTTCATATCGGAGAAGTAATTCTGTGTTAGTTTGACTTACAGGGACACACAAGTAGGATGACAGGTATGAAAATAGTTATTACAGCTTTATTTTGGGATTCATTGTATGGAGATCCATTTTCACAAAAGAAAAAAACCACAAAACTATTTTTTTTAATTATCTGAAACGCTAAAACGGAATAAAATAAAAATCTTTTAGAGGAAAAGAAGATAACACATGCTTTTACATATCGATGACTATTAAACCATGAACAATAATAACCCACATTTATACGTCGACTCAACGTATCCCAATGAACGTAAAATAAAAAATACCACAGAGTCGGACAAATCTATTTCAAATTTGGATGTGGATGATTTATTACTAACGGATATATGGAAAACAATATTCATAACAACGACAAGGAGCACATGGCGGTTGTGTTCGGTCGAAAGGGGATGCTCTTTCCTCCACGGCATCTGATCCCACCTCTGATGTTTTAGAGGTCCGTGTTTGATCAGCTCCAAGTGTTGAATTGTTGAATGGACTTTTGAGTTTGATTTTTTTTCATGATCCCCATATATTTTATTCAAATTTAAAAATCCATACAAACATTACCAATCAGGAGCAGAGTAAGCACATACCCTCTTAACACCAGAGAAAGGATCAGGTGCCATGAAGGAGTGGGCACTCCCCGCTAACAAATAAACATAATGACAAACGAGATTATTTTAGCTTTCTTATTGTCAACATTATTAGTCATGTAGTAATTTTCCACTGGTCATTTCTCTCATTTTTACTAGTATTCGAAATTCAACAATAGTATGCATTTAAAAAATGACACATTCTTCATAAAATTTGAAATGATCAGAAACGAAAGAAGGCTATCATTCAATGATGACCCAATTTCTTATGTATCCAGACGTCGCTGTTTTTACCCAGACTTCGTTTTGTGAACCGGATTTTTTAATCTGATCACAATTCATCATTTTTGCTTCTTTTTTAACAACTGATGTTACAGTGATTTCAAACTTAGGACTTTGTATAAACGGTAGCTAAACTGACCTTACTTTAAAACACCGATGGTCGCCTCGTATTTTGACTCACATACTCCATAAAGTTGAAAAGTCTTTTTGTCACGTTAAATAACACCTAATTTGCGAGGCTTATTTTTGCATTATAAAAGTCCTCCGCTCGCAAATATTTAGTTCTTTCATGATATCTATAATTAATCAAATTACCCAAGATAATCAAAATTTGTGACAATTTTGTCTCAATTGTTAAAATAATTCGCTTGAGAAAATAAGATATCTCGAGGGTTTAGCAATATGAACACAGACTATTCCGTCTACCTGATAAATACATGAGATTCACGGCGGCGTGACTGGTCGACGGGGATGTTTTCTTCTATAGGCACCTGATATATGGCACCTGATCTATAAAGAGACTAGGTTTTGTTTCATAAATACAAATACCTATAGATCAAATTTTCAGGCTTACTTCTTCTGTGTCTATGTTTATGCTGTTTATGTCCTAAGCGGAGAGATAAAGAAACTAGGTTTTTTATTAGTTTGGAAGAAGTGGCAGGAAGACTCTACGTCAGTCAGACGTTTTGGTTCTGATGTTTACTACAGATACAAAGCACACTGGTACTGCAAAGACAAGGAAGGTCGTTATGGCGCCTTTCTCAGAAAATACAACGGAGTAGGAAATTCCATAGAATTCAGAGCGTATATGGTGTTTAATTCACAGAAAAGGGATTTTATGGAGCAGCATGGATGGAAGAATCCCACACCCGAGGGCCTCGGTAGTATTCCGTTACTGAAAATGTCGGGCGCACGCCTTCCAAGAAAGTAACAGGGGTCAAATTAACAATTTAACATGCGACCAAATGAAACATTGACACTCTTAATAATAAGATGTCGGATAATATGATAATTTATTTATAGTTTTTAAAACAAGACACAATAAAATCCTAGGAATGGATATTACCATTGTTAATTGACAAACGTTCTGCATAAAATTGATAAGCGTGATGACTTAAACTTTTCTATCGCAACTTCCCTTACTTATGCAGCAATATACCATCGGGTGTGACCGGTCGGCAGAGGATGCTCACTCCTACATGGTACCTGATCACACCACTGATTATTACATTTATATGACTTTGTGATTAATTTTTGCTATAGGAAAACATGTTCTTTTTCCTAAAGTTTGACACATGTTTCAAGACATCATGCATTGTGAATCTCACTTTGTTTAAATAATATTTCAAGGTTATATATTATTGATTGACCTTGAAAGACTACAAGTGAAACAACAACACTTATCGATGAAACTTGCAACATTTTAGCTTTATATACTAATTACATTATGTCAAGTTTTTGTATAGGAAGTCTCTCAAAAATATTTTTGGGTTCGACAGTATCAAAAATGTCCAACATTCAAATTCACTATTTTTATTGAAACAAGTACATTGAAAAGTGTTAACAGATTTATATATATTCTTTGTTCGTAAATAAAATCGCAATATCTTGCAATAAATATACAAAGCTTGAAGTTTACCAATTATACTGGTATATTAAAATGAGTTAAGTTTACAAACGATATTAATCTCATTCATGCACAGTAAGACATTTTAATGTTCATTCTATAATACACACTGCAAATGGGAACACTAGTAAATAAAACATTGGTAGAGCCCCCTATATTATAAAATTACCAGATGTACTTAACAATGGTTTATGTTTTTGATATAAATATACATAGAAAAAAAATTATACTGGAAGGATATGGAGTCCTAAATACCTTTTACCTCGAATATCTCCTCATGCGTTTCTTCACCGCATTAAGCATTATCTTGTGGCTAATCCATTCACTTCTTCGGACCATATTATCATCCTGTCTTAAACAACTCATCTTTCGTCGTATTCTCTCTAACACAGTCACCCCTTCCCTGTCTAACACAGAATCATACTCTCTGTACCTCACCCTGACATTGACATCCGCCCCCGACTCCAGGAGGATCCTCACCCTATTCAAACGATGTCTTAAAGACACATCAATCACTGCATTCAACAGGGGTCTCACTTCAAACGCATCATAGAACTGTATCAACTGATTGACATCAAGACCCACATCTAAAAGATGTTTAAGAACCTTACACTCACTTTCTAGGACTGCAATATGTAATTCTCCCAGTGCCTTCATACGCAACACTCTTCTCCGTGTCACCACCACGTCATCCTTACTATCAGTCATCACGTCACCGCGTTTAATATTTACCAAACACTCAAACAAATGTAACCTCAGTGTATTCATCTGACTTTCATTTTTGTTTTCTAATAACTGTTTTACAACACACATTTTATTTCTAATTAGGGCAATATAGAGTGCTGAAATACCGTATTTATTACTGATAGTTGCGTCTGCACTGTTATAATTGAACATTCGTATGACAGCAGGAATGAACGTTTTATTTTGGAAAACAACTGTATAAATAGGGTTTCTGCCTTCCTTATCCTGCATATTAACATCACTCCCTGCCTCAAGAAGTTTTCTCGCTATATTCATATATCCACTTTTACACGCTGCCGTCAGTGGTGTATCACAATTACCTGGTAAATTGACACTAGCCCCTGCCTCTAACAACTCGATTACAACACTGATATGTCCACTACCACATGCTGCTGTCAGTGGTGTGGAATTTTCACCTTGCAGATTAACATCGGCACCTGTCCTTAGCAGCTCCTTCACTATATTCAGATGTCCACCCTCACATGCTACTGTCAGTGGTGTATCATAATTACCTTTTTGATTAACATCAGCCCCTGCTTCTAGCAATTCTTTTACTAAATTAAGATGTTCACCACGACAGGCTGCTTTCAGTGGTGTATAATATCGACCTCGTGGATTAACATCAGTTCCTGCATTTAATAGCTTTTTTACTACACTAATATTTCCATCATGGCATGCTGCTATCAATGATTTGCAATATGCATATTTCAGAATGAAATCAGATTCTGTCTGAAGACGCTTCTTCCTTAAACTCATATAAATGTCTTCATTTGCTGTTATTGGTAGTTTATAAAATTGGCCTTTTGAATATCTGTCAGTTCTTGCCTGTAGCAGTTCTTTCACTATATCTATATGTCCTTGTTCAGATGCTGCTGTCAGTGGTGAATCATCATCTCCTTGTAGATTGACATCTGCTCCTGCCTTTAGCAATTCATTCACTATACTCAAATATCCACCACGACATGCTGATATCAGTGGTGTATAAAGCTCACCTTTCAGATTAACATCAGCTCCTGCCTCTAGCAGCTGCTTCACTGCGCTCAAATGTCCACCTTCACATGCTCCAATCAGTGGTGTTTTAAACATACCCTCTATGTTAACATTAGCCCCTGCTTTTATCAGGTCCATCATTATACCTATATCTTCACCATTAGCTGCTGCTGTTAGCGGTGTTTCAATTTTACTTTGTAAATTAACATCGGCCCCTGTCCTTATTAGCTCCTTTACTAAATTCACATATCCACCATTAATTGCTGCTGTAAGCGGATTATTAAGTTCACTGTGTGAATTAACATGAGCCCCTGCCCTTAGCAGCTCCTTCACTATACTCTCATATCCACCCTTACATGCTGCTGTCATTGGTGTATCATTATCACCTTCTAAATTCACATCAGCCCCTGCCCCGATTAATTCCTTCACTATACTTTCATCTCCAAAATTACATGCTGCTGTCAACGGAGTATCATTTTTACCTTGTAGATTAACATCAGCTCCGGCACCGAGCAGCTCCTTCACTATACTCATATGTCCACCCCCACATGCTGCTGTTAATGGTGTATCAAATTCATCTTGTCGATTTACATCAGCACCTGCCCGAAGTAACTCCTTCACTATACATACATATTCGCCCTTAGATGCATCTATACCGAAAAGTTCAACCAAATATCCACCCCTACATGCTTCTATCAGCGGTGAATCAAATACACCTTCTGGATTTACATCAGCCCTTTTCCCTAGCAGCTGCCTCACTAAATTTATATGTCCACATTTACATGCAGTTGTCAGTGGTGTAGCAAACTCACCGTTTAGATTAACTTCGGCTCCTGCCCTTAGCAGCTCCTTCACTACATTCACATGCCCACCCCTACACGCTGCTATCAGTGGTGTTTTACGTTTACCTTGGTAATTGACATTAGCACCTGCCCCCAACAGATCCTTCACTATATCCATATGTCCATTTTCACATGCACATGTTAGTGGTGTATCAAACTCAGTTGGTGGATTAATATTAGCACCTGCCCTGAGCAGCTCCTCTACAATCGTCATATATCCATACTTACATGCAAGAGTCAATGGCGTTCCATATTCTTCGTGTGAATTAACATCAGCCCCTGCCTCTATCAGCTCCTTTACCACATTCAGATGTCCACTCTCGCATGCAGCTTTAAGTGGTGTATCATCAGTCATTTTATCAGAATTCAAATATTGAGACCACATGTCAATTGCATTTCTTTTCAGATAATCAATAAATATTCTCACAATTTCTAAATTTCCATTGTAACAACTCAGCAGCAATAAACGTTGTTGTTCAGAAATAGATCCATCAATGTCGAAGAAGCTGAATGACCATAAATTTGTTGAATTATTTGCTGCCAAGCTCATTTCCCCATAATTTTTTGAATAGTTTAAATCAGGATTAAAAGAACTCAAAAATAGTTCACACTCGGTTTCTTTTAAAATATATTGTAGGATCTGATTGTGTCCATAGTAAATCACCCAACTGATTACCCTCACACTGAATGTTCTTCCTTTTATAAAATTCTCATTAACCAACAATCTCTGTCTGCACCACTCCCTGCTCCTTATATCCCTCTTTCTACTTTCCTCCCTCACACGCTCTCCTGTACTCACTACATTAGACACGTCTTTCTGTACAGACAGAAATAAAGACTTTAACTCGGTATGGGACTTTGTTTTCAACACCTCAATAAAAGCCTGACATACCTTCGGGTGTTTTAAAACATTATTCATAAAAACATCATAAAGTTCCATATTTTCTATATCTCTGAATAAACGCTCTGCAAACATAGAGTATTGCTCCTCTCTCAACCTTATACACAGATCAAATGACTCCATACAATCACTGTTTTTAGCACTTAAAGTCTCCTTCTCATCGTTTTGTAAACTTTCACAAGCAGTGTTGATTTCATTTTTATCCCAACTACTGACTGCAACATTTTCACTCTCTTGCTTATTTTCATTCTCTAATTCAAGCATTTCATCTTTTTGAAGCTTTACGTAGTTAGCAATATAACTACTACTCATGAATTGTAAAATGAGATTTGGGAACTGAGAACCAAAATGATGAGCAATAATTTCAAACACAGAGTCATGAATAAAAGTATACTCAGAACTACAGAGTTTAGTATATGTCCCCTCCATTACTGATAATGCATCAACAAATTCAAAAACGTCTGTGTAACTTCTTACTTTACAACTATTTAATGCTTTTGATTTAATTTCACAGAAAACCGTATTCTCTGTGTCTTGTATTATTTCTTCTGATAATTTATTGTCATTTAACAGGCATAAGACCAACGAAGCATAATGTAATCTATTTTGTTCTTTCATTTTGTCAAATTCCTCTGAAATGTATCTACCTGGACAGGTAAAAAAACGTTCAACATTGTTTCTAAATTTCTCCTCTTTTGAGTATAGTTTACACAACAAAGGAAACATTGGCGATGCTTCTCTAAGTAATGTAGAGGACAATAAATCTTTATCCAAGCCATGTTTCTGAAGAATATCTTTTTTGTCATCATCATTCAATGCATTTTCTGAACTTAACATTTTGATTACATTTTCCTTATTTGAGAAAAAAGATTTGTAGCATTCATTAAATACAGCTTCCCTGCATGACATCAGTACCTTTGTATGTCTTGAAAGATCTGAAATAATTTTTTCATAGTCAACTAAAGTCTCCAACTTTTGTTTTTGAAGACCCAACACACCTACCACATCATCAATGACAAAAACCTGAGGATTATGGGAGTCAAAATAACGGCAAATCTCACTGATGTCTATAATTGGCACAACCTCATAACCTTCCTTCTGGAGTATCAGGGCTATGTGGTGAATCGTTGCTGATTTTCCAGATCCCGGTACACCAACAAATGTCATATAAGGTTGTCTCCTGACTTTATTCAGCATCACTTGGAAAGTGTGAGTTTCACTGTAAACATCATCTTCTTCTCTCCATTTTATCACTTGTCTTTCATGAAGATCTGAAATAATATTATACGAAAATTTAATGATACTAGTAAATTTAGAGTTCAAAAATACCTTAAAGTATACGATAAGCGTGTTGAACATTCATGGTCACTTAACTATGGTGGGAATTTTTGAAATTGTACTTCAAGACAAATTGCAAAACATGCATGCATAACTGGACCTCTACCAGATACCGAATCAATTAAAGTAGTGTAAGGATCTTAGAGAAGGATATAGAGATAACGAACAGTATTCAATCTCAAAGTCCACAAAACAATACAAGTTAGAAGCAGAGCAAATACGGACCCCCTAAACATCAGAGGTGGGATCAGATGCCATGGAGGAGTGAGCATCCCTTGTTGACCGGTCACACCGACCGTGTGCTCCTTGACATGATCGGAAAATAACGGGAAAATCCAACGTCATTATAGTTTATAAATAATAGACTAACAATTAGTATGAAAAACGTCTGTCAGCGTTTGTTTCAATGATAAATTGTATTTGCCGACAAGGTCATTGTATCGACCATAGAACTTACGAAATGATGACTTTAAACGAGACTGTTGATATTCTTGTTTCATCAACTTGCTTGTCAATAATTTACCTCGTTTTAGAAATTCTACATACGTAGAGCTATGCTCTTGTGTATCGAATCAACTGAGATATATACACTCCGTATGCGGGTGATGAAGGTATATTGCTTCATAAGTAAGGGAAGTTGACGATAGAAAAATCAAAGTAAATCACGTTTATTATAGAGCTTGGTTTTTTTTTACTACAATGATACAAAGGAGATCAGGTGCCAAGGAAGAATAAGAGATATCAAACCGCTACATGTTAAATGTAAAAAAAAAATCAAATGTTAAAGGGTCCTGCTTAAAATCTTGTATGTCAGCATTTTTCTAATTCAAATTAATTAACATCTAACACTCAAAAATAAAATCACAATAATCTTATGAATTCAGCTTAGTTAATACATGCATACTTTGTAGATTTGTACTTGCCTTTAACATTTGGAGGGATAACATACAGTAGTTCCTCGATTTTATCTGGAAAAAAGAAAAAAAAAAGATTTTCGTTATCAATTTATAAACTTCTCTATTAAGGGCATTTTACAAATCAAAGCTAAATGCCATTACTGTAAATAACTTTTTATTCACGAGAACTTTGTTTTCGCGTAATAACGCAAGACAACGTATCGCGAAAATTTGATTCTCGCGTATAATAGTATTCCTTAAGAAAATATACAGCAAGGACCACAATTTGAGAAAATTTTGTCTCGCTTATCAACGAAAATAAGTCGTCAAAATTTTGTGATCTACAGTATTTAATATACATAAGCCCTCTCTATGGAAGGGCTTAATAAGTGTCGTCAAAATTTATGTCAAATTCAAATCAAATCAAATTTAATATACATGTATTAACAGTGGTATTTTTCCATTCTTATGCCAGATATCTTGGCGAACTTGAGATAAAACATACCACAGAGTCTGACACACCAGTTTCATGTTTGGATAATTTATGTGAAAGAGACGTTAATGGTAATGTAACAAATATTAATGATTTTTTTTCATTTTCATATTTAATGCCACAAAAATTGCAAAAATTAAACAACTTTTTTCAGACTTTCGTAGGGAAAAAGAAATTAAAATCAAATGTAACCGATTGAATGAAAACGGACATTGTTGACCTAAGTGACTTAAATTAAACTGACCTGCATGACTTTGAACCGTTTTGCACAATTCATCGATAAGTAAAAGTTTATCAATGTATTTGGCCTCTATTTCTGGATCCATGGAACATGTTCTTATATTGTTCACAGCATCTTTATAAAAGGGCAAAGTTCCAGTGTGTTGTTCTGACTCAACAGTAATATTGTAAATGTTTTGCCATTCCTTTATAAAGTTTAAATCTGAAAGAGAAAAATCTGCTGCATGTCCATAGTACTTGTTTCTCGTTAGTCTGATTCTTTCTATGTTGGCAGATACACTATTGTCCGTTGGATCGGGTTCTTCTCCCCATCCGTTATTGTGTGGAGTTATTTTACACACGTTACGTAGAAGAATATAAAGCAAACTAATGTCAAAATCTGAATAATCCCCGCCATAATGTTTGGTTGGCAGCGGAAAGATGAGAGCAATTTGTTGTTTATTTAGAGGACTATTCTGTTTCTTCTTTTTTAAATCATCAACCCAAGTTTTGACAGTTTTTGATAAATTGAAAGGCGCTAAGTTTCTTTTGAGAATATCACGCAGCAGATCTGTGCATGGACCAAGGATAAGTCTTGCTACCCGCGCTAGGTTTGTGGTTTCTGGAGTAGATTTGTACTTTGATGACGTTGTTTTATTGACATTTTTTGTCGTTGAAAATAACTAAATGAAAATGCCAAAAAGATCAGTTAGACTTAAAGTCAAATTCAGCAATATGTATGTCTAATGTTCTGTTTAGGAATATAAATGTATAATACAAAAAATCAACGTAAATCAAGTCTTAAGGATCAATTTTGCGCTTTTATTGTCACATAGCTATTACTTAAAAAGAACAAAAGTCTGTTTAAATTTTGTTATACAATGATACCCAGAATTAAAAGAGTGCTATGGTTTTGGAAAAAGAATTGCCATACTGGAAAGAAGAACAAGTGATTAATTTGAAAACCTATAGCATGAAAGATACATTAGTACAAAACTACATATGTATGCATTTTACATACAAATTCTTCTCAGATATAAAATCACAAAATACATTTGTAATATAAAGTGTTTGTTTCATAGCATGCAACATTACAGAGTTTCCATTTTTAGAAACGCATGTGAAACTACCTAATAACTGACCTGATAGTCCCTTGTCCTTTTCAAAAGATATAAGATCAGCACACACAAAGCTATAACTATGATTGCCATCTGTCCAAAGTCAAAGAAACAAAATTGTCTCCACATAGAGTACATCTAAAATTCTTAGCGTGTGCATCGAGAATTAAATTGACTGACTGCAATAAAAGTAAAATGGATATATAAGGCAATAAGGACTGAACTTCTTTTTTGATCTTTCCAAATCTTATTATCTTGTAATGTAGATGCAAGTAAGAATAATGAGAAACCTTGTTTGATATACTTAAACGATGGTCACATCCAGCGTCACTATAGTTATATAATGTAGCCAAGTATCAAGAAAACTTTATCAAACATGAGGTTGTATTTTTGTAGACAAAACGGTTGATTAATTGATTGAATTTTGTTTAACATCCCTCTTGAAAATTTTTCACTCATATGGAGACGCCATCACTTGCCGATGAAGAGCTTAAGATTTTTTTGTCCTTTACTCGCCACACAGGGCCATTGAGCAGGGAGGGATCTTTTTCGTGCCAGCACCTACTGTGGCATGGAAAGGTGGTTTTTCACGGTCTCATCCGAAGGAGCAGTCTCCACATCCATCAATTCGATTCGAACCCGCGACTAATTACTTTGCGAATCTAGAGTAGACGTTCTAACCTATGCGCCATACGAGCGACTAGACAAAACCTAAGGTTCATCCAAGATTCCA